ACTGAATTTCGATTGGGCGGGAAACCTTCCCAAACCTTAACCACACCCCTGACACCAAGCACCACGGGCCAAAAAAAAAAACATTCCTACAGCTCACATGCAAAACAATACACTGACAACTGTCAAAAACAGGTTATTCTATAAACCTGACAATGCAATGCAAAACTTAAGGAGTTGAGTTCTGATTTTTTTCCAGTTTTGATGTTAATCACAACATGCATACACTGAAAAATCTATCAGCACCCAGAAAAAGATGTGTACATGCCGAGCGAAATAAAGGTAATGGACAAAACATCTAGGTGTGCCTATTTGGTGTAGACATTTATAACCTCATAGTATATTAAAAGAAAACCGTTTAAGGCATACGCCCCCTAATTAATATCATTACCATATAAAAGAGCACACGATAATATCCGACTTTCTATGCTTGAGAATGATGAGCACAAAGGAAAAAAAAAAACTTTACTGAGTCTGAAATTGAGGTCCCGCTGGCGGAGGTAGAGGTTCGTGCGGGACGCTTTTTATTTAATGTGTAATTGTCTGTGGACAAACTGTGTGTGTTGTTATATTTTTTCAATTGACTATTATCAAAATTACTACTTCTAGAAACAACAGAAATAATAATAATAATAATAATAATAATAAACGTGGCGGTAAGTACTTTTCCACGTCAAAGACCGTTTTTATAAATATGAACATTGCCATGGATTTTAGCGTACGCACATTTTATAAATGAGGCCCCAGCAGTGGTGGAAGGTGAGATTAATCAGGGTTCAAACAGAGGAAAAGCCATCTGGTGTCATAAATCATCTCTGTCGTTGTGAACAGAGAACAGCGCGTCCCGCAGGAGTTCAAATACACTGTCGCATTTTAACGTGACAAATGACTCTAGTAAATTGCCCAAGCTTTTCATTCAATTCTAATGGCATCTCTAGCGTCACAGAATATGACAACGGCAGATACAAGATGTAAGTGTGATGTGATACTGACCATTTTATGACATACTGGTTGATACAGAGAATTCTAGACAAGTGTCCGAAATCAATATGGGTTATTCAAGGATAGAATCTTAAATGGATAGTTCACCCGAAAATGAAAATTCTGTTACCATTACTCACCCTCATGTCAGAAAAAAAAAAAAAAGATTGAAGAACCTTTCAGTTGTTAGAGTACTTTTACACTAGTCTCATGTCCTTTTTGGAGCTTGAGACTTTTGGACCCAATTGACTATAACTGTATGAAAAAAACAGCTTTCTTTTGTGTTTTGCAGAAGAAGAAAAAAAGAAAAACATGACGGTGAGTACATTTTGACAGGATTTTAATTTGTGTAAATTACATTTTTGGTAACATTCTACATATTTTTGGTTGCCACTCTAGTGGAGACAACATGTAAAAACTGGGGGCTGAGTGTTTCCAGCTTGCCTTTGGAGACTATAAACACCATCACTCACCACGATCAATCACTCTGACAGTGACTGCCCCCTGCATTACCCGGGGTCACTGCTTGACAACATATGGTTTTGCCCAAGCAAACGATTTGTCAAAATCAATGAATGGCCATCATCTGTAGGGGGATGCTACGAGCAATTCAGCTTAACTTGCAGCATAGCATGGTCTCCTGACTTCAGGGTGGGTGACAATCGTCTCTGTTTCCTGGCACTCCCACATGATTGGGTACTTTATTTTGTCATCGAGCGAACGGCCAGTGACAATTTACTGCGTGACTTGGGAGAATGGATTGGCAGCGTTTTACAAAAGTAGATTGTGTGCCCTCAAATGCATCTCTCTGCATGGCGGTCTCTTTTCTGTCAATGACAGGATGAGTTACGTTGCACCAACAAAGGCATTTCAGCGTGAATGCTTGCAGACTTTCACATAAAAAGTCTTTTAAAGGGACAGAAGACATTTGCTAACATTGTTTTTTGTAAAGAAAGCACTGACTTGAAAACATAGTGCAATAAATGTTACCTTTTTGCACATGTACTACCATTAAATTAATGGCTTACCAGGGTACATAAATATGGTAATCAACTGACTTCACACACTAACCAAAAGGTAACAAAAAGTACCATGTATTACCATTGACTTGTAATATGGTAACTTCAGTATTATTTTAATTATTTTGAGTACCATGCAAAAATCATGGATATGAAAATGGCAAGCAATTGTCTTCACGCTAGGCAAAGAAAAAAAAACTGCCATGATATTACCATGTTTTTTGAACATTGCATCATGGCATTACCATGTAAATACACTGGTACATGAATCTGATCACTGAAGCCAGGGTATGGATATGGTAAGACTTAATTACCATGGTGAATATCAAAGCAAAAAGAAGACCATAAGGTAAAAAATTAAAATAAAAAAAAATAATGAAAATATAATATAATAATGTTTTAAAGGTATAATGCAGAATATCAATGCACGCTTTTTCAAGAACTGTTTTTAAAATGACAAAAAGATGCAAGGTGTATAGATTTGTTTTATAAAGTGTAATGAAAACTGAATTTGAAATATGCCCACTCTATTTCTGGTCTTATAAAAGCTTAACTGTGTATTAAGTGTTTTTTTCTCTCTGTCTGTCTGTCTGACTAGCTGCCTCCGGTGAAGCAGTCTTTTTCACCCTCCTTTTTATTTCTTGTTCCCTCCCATTTTCTCTCTGGAGATGTTAAAATGGTAGGCTAAACAAGAGCCGAAGGGCCTAGGCAGTGCAGTGTGGGTGTGCCAGGATGAGAGTGGTCCTTCAAGCGAGCATGTCTGCCGCTCAACCAACCCCTCTCCTTCATTCTTATTCTGCTGCTCTCCCAGAGATGCCAAGACTGACAGGGCAGCATTTCAGCTCAATGTCCTCTATTTTTCTATCTCTCTCTTCCCGTCCCTCATGTCTGCTGTCGGCTTGACATCCATTCAGCTATGGGATGTGTGTCTGAACTGAGGATTGTGCAGCTACGTCTGAGGATTAGCTGGGTATCTGTTTTGCACTGCGCATGAGAATTTGTGTGTCTTTGTGTGTGCAAACGCTCTCCATTAAGAAGCTTTATTATTTTCAGGCAGATTATTAATTGGTTTGCAGCACTGCCAGAAGGTTCTGCAGGGGTGTATTCCTGGAGTTTGACAAGTTATTTATTCTAAGAATGTGTGTGTGCTTGACTGTTACTTCAGTATTTTAAAACCTTATTGAGCACAATTCATCAGCAAACAATTCTGAATAAATTTCTGAAACAATGTTTCTGATTTTGCATTGCAACCAATGCTACACAGGCATGGAAAAATAATATTAACCAGCAAGATTTTTGTTGTTATGTTAGCATGTTGCAATTCAGTTGTTAGGAGGTGGTTGCCTATTGCTCCAAGCCAAAAGCGCCCAGCAAAGTCACTAAAAAATGCTTGGTTCCCTCTTTGAATGTAATGGATCTATGATATTTTTGGCAGCTTTGCTGTGTTAAAATGTTAAACTCCTGTTAAAATCTGTATGTATTCTTACTTATTTCTAAGTAATTCTTAAAAAAATTAAATACCTAGAATTAACAACAATCGCGACAATCGTATCCAAATGTCAGAGACAGTGGAAAGGTGGCTTTAGGGATTACAATTGTACTAATGTATTTAGGGATACAATTATCATAGCCTATTCTCACAAACATTCAAATCCTAATGGATAAAATTAAATCCCATCCTATACTTTATTTCCCTCTGAATACTCTTTTTCGCTATATGTAACACTGATATAGCGTAAAAACTAACAGTGCGGCAAATCTAAGATTAGTAGTAATGTAATTATTTTTGAACAACAATAAAGTACATAGTTATGTTTAGTAAATATGTGTGGCACTTAGTATAGTTGTGAAATCAGAGCCAAGCTCATCCTTTTCCCCATATTTTCTCTGCCGAACCTTCCAGCCAACTGTACTAATAACAAACAGAAATCATATAACCTCCCTGCTTAATTAAGTTGTCTTAATACCACATTTATTTTAACATATGTTAATATGTTCCACTTGGCTGCATAAGACACCAAGAGACCGCAACTCTCTTTTGTTTTGAACATTTAATGAGGGGGAACATTCCTTCTTTACTTGCTGGTGGAGCTACAGCAGGGAATATGATAAAAATCCAACTGGGAGGCTTCACACAGCAGACATAACCCTGCAGTTAGCTTTCTGTTCTCTGAATGACTAATTCTAGACAACAACCTCGAGAAGAGTTTCCTACAACAAGCTCATACAAGAATGCTCCGGTATGTTTCCTTCAGTACTTCAAAAAATAACAAGCAGGAAGTTGAAGGATGATCTCAGGCTAGAACATCTAGATTTCGTCTGTGGAAATATTCTGTGTATGTCAAATGTTTTATTGTTTTCGTAGTGCACTGTGGTTTCAAGGCAGCTGACAGTTCCATTCAGTGTCATTTAAGAAGGAAGTCAATCTTTTACCAATGTTTGCTGTCTTCTTCACCTGTCTCTCCAATGACCTTCACTGCTACGGTAAAACGTCCCTCCAGACTCTCCAACTCTGCATTAATAAAAACAGTTCCGACTGCCAACAACTCTCTATCACCCAACTGCCTCTAGAACTGCTTCCAGGATTCAATCCAAATAGCTGAAGCAAAGAGTATTGCAACAAAGTCTGAATGTCTACTTTTTTGTGACAGCATTAATGACACTTAAAAAAGAAGCGATCTTTAGAACATCTTTGTATTACCATCCAATTGTAGTGATGGGGAAAAATAATAAAAAAGAAAAAGAAAGAATATCCATGCTGTTACAGTCTGGTCTTTGAACTGGTTTCACAGGTTCACCAGTGTGGTCTTGCTGGTGAATCTGGTTTTTCCCATAACATCTGCTGACAAGCCATGATGTTTTTTAGCAAGTGAGTGGAAAGCAAAGCCACCAAAGCCAATTTAAAAGAACTGACAGAACTGATTGCAAACATATCATTGTACACTAATTGTTCAATGTTCATATTCTTTCTATGAATTCCAGCCAAAGGAAGTCCAGCCATACCTTCAGCCTTTCAGAAACTCCATCAGTCACACTGATGGTGAACTCCTCCACCTTGGGAACCTTCAGCTTGGCCTTATTCTTCTGTTCCGTCTGATACTCGGTTCGTGTCTTCACCACCACCTGCGAAGAGAGTGTTTATCCATCAAAACGACAGTTTGACTTAATGTAAACGGTAAATTCCCTGAGGGTTTGATAACTGTACCGTGAAGCCAATAACTTCCGATCAATAATAACCATAATCATGTTAGGCCTTCCTCATCATAAAACGTCATGCTGGTTTTTAAATTGCTCAAAATCACTGATCTCACAGACATGCTGAGGTAAGCAGGACTTCCAGTAACGTTGTCATAATTGGCCTTACCAAAATCAAAGCCTATTCCCACAACAGCACTCAGTCATGGCAAATCAGACAGGGTAGATCACATTGCATCCCAGACGATGAAAAATCCTACTTGAAATACAAACGGATTATCAAAAATCTAATTTTAATCTGGTTTGAAACCACATGAGTATGTGGTTTAGGTAGGGTTTATAAAAATTGGATTTCAAGTCTTGAAATTTCAAGCGGATTTGAGTTGGATATGCCAAAAAACATATTTCTTGAATTGCAATTTAGTGAATTCCTCGTCCTGTCATTCAATTTAAATTCCAACTAATGAACTGAGAGGGCGCAAATTCGAAACTTAGGCAAAAGCCCAACCTTCGCGGAAGGTGAGATGTGTGGTAACAGATGGAGGAATGACACCTCTAGATGATTACGTCTCAGTATTGACCTCGGTTCCTGCCATCTTGATTTCTAGAAACCCTGAGGTTGATCAAGTCTAATGCCCTGTAGACCACTGGATGAAGCTCAACCACTTGTCATGAACTCTGCAATTACTGCTTATCTGTCTCCTTCCCAAACCCTCTGATATTTCATTTTCCCCCTGAATAACCATCTTGTCTGCTTCCATTTCTCTCTCCTTCTCCTGAGCTATGTGAGGTTATCGCTGGGATTGTTATTCCATTTTTCCACTCCCCCAGAATGCAACCTCTGCCTCCAGGCAAGGTTGCGCATTGTCTTTTTTGCTGCTGATTCAAGCCATCGATAGTGTCAACACCAGGGACTACTCTGGATCAGACTAGATTGATCCTCTCCAATATAAGTGTTGTACTGATATGCTGGTATGACAACCTATTTGATTGAAAAATGCTCTGAATAATGATGAGATGGTGATGAAATGCAGCTTGTGATTTGCATGCAATTAGCAGATGATAAATTCGGTAGTCCGATGATAATGGAGTTGTTTCGAAATTCTGGATAACAACAAGACAACCTGGCCAAATGCTTCCATATGTAAGTCCCCCTGGGAAAACAGACTTAAAAGCTGGAAAAAAAAAATGAAAAGAGCATCTGCAGTGGTACCAAAACTAGATGCAATCCTTGCAACATTACGTCTCAAATATCAAAAAATGAAATCCATATTTTTTGTTCTTCAGTTATGGTGTCAAATAACTGACAAAAACCCATTATTGTATTCATTTAATGAATCTACACACCTCATTACAGTAAATAAACCTAATTCTTCAAAGATTGTGTTCTTAACTTGGCTCGTGTAAAATAAATAATGCTAAAACAGCTTTCAAATAATTTGCAGTCATTACTGCCTGATTGCTATCTGCAGACCTCTAGAGAAAGATAATGATTTCCCTCAGGGCTGATCCTTGTCCTGCTTAAACACTTTAATGTCAGCATGAAAAATTAATGGTTATTACATTGTCCAAGTTTAGGTGACAGAATTGTATCAAGTGCATGGATTACAGTAACTTCAGATGCTATGATTCTCTGCTTAAAATAATTCTACTTTGCTTTCGACCATGCAAACAAATTATTCAATTTTTTTGTTTATTTATTGATTTATTACTTTTGATTCTTACAATCACAGAAGTATTAAGTTGGTCATTTAAGTACCGCACTGGATTCATTCAGCATTATTGATTAGTTACATTTAAAAAATTGTACTGTGCTTATGATTAGACTTAACAGTCTTTGAATATACTCTTGAACTGACTGATATTATACATTAAGCTATAATTAGTGATCTTCTTTTCAAAATATAATTGGGCATATTTGAACAAAATGCTTTCAAATAATTTGTACAAGACAAATTCAGTCATCTTTCCGACTGAGGCTCAGGGCCATTCTGTTAAATTACTATTCTCTTTCATCTTACAAGAAAATGTCATAATTACAATCTCATTTTTGTTAATTAAATAAGAACTATTTTGAAGTATTATGTCATGTAAGCAGGGCAGGATCATTGTCCTGCAAGGCCTCAGAGCACACGTCTATGGAAATAAACATTAACTAACCTTATCCAAGATCTCTTCAGGAACCTATAGAAATATAGCGGTCTAGAAAAAATTATTAAAAACCAATATTTTTTGCTTTTATCCTTTTCATATAGTAATTCTTGCCTACCACTCACAATTGGAGCTAAAAAGTGAAGCTGTAAAATAATATAAATATTATATTTACAACAAGTTTTCATTGCACAACATTTTAGTCCACGATAATGATCAAGTATACATAAAACCCTAAACTGCATAGTCTCCGAGAGCCACTAGTTTTTACAAGAGAAGAAAAAAGGCTCACCAGGTGACATAGACATGTTGATAATCCAACACATCCTCTTCACCTCTGAGCTGGCATTAAACAGAGGATGCAGCCTCCATATGACATCTGAGATAAAAGATAAACTGGCTTTTTCTCTTTGTCATGCAGGCCAATAAAGGATTGGGGAGGGGGTGGGCGTGGGGTGCTTAGGCTTGCGTGGAGGGCTGTGCGCTCCTTAAAATATGATAGCGTTCCCTTTTGTTACTGGCTTGTGCACAGGTTTGGGCAGAGTGGCAGGCCACTTCAGTTAGCAGGTGCAAAGAATGATTGCGCCTTCCTCAGCAGAATCCCAAATGAGGGCAGAAGCACCACTCACAAGTGTCACAGCTCGCACCCTAAGGCACACTGGTTGGCAACCCAACCTTAAAAGCAGAAGATTGTACCGACATGTTTGGGGAAAAACAGTGAAAGCTTATTATATTAAATGAAAAACAAGAACATAATCCAAAGATAAAATGAAAGGATAGTGTAATAAAAAAAAACAGCCTGACAATTTAAGTTAACACGTAGGGTTAATACAACATTATGCTTTCTAGGCGTCAGTACCATTTGACATTTTGCTATGTGACAATAGGTGAAGGTTATATTTTTCTGACCTGACAAGAGGCATGGTAATGTTCTATTATATAAGACCTGAAAAACAATGTCCCTTACCTTGTCTAGTGCTTGGTACTGAAGATTAGTAACATCCAAGGGCGTGATGAGGGGGACGTTCTGAAAGCCGTCCTCAACGCTAACAGCTTTTGCTCCTTTTTCTTGTAGATTACTCCCCAGTTTAACCATCTTTAAAAGATTATTTCACCAGCCTATAAATGTAGAGGATATTAAAACAACACTTGTAAAATAGCATTTTAAAATATTCCAGCCTGGCTCCATGTCAAATATCGACCACCTTTAATAATAAAACAAAAAATCTATACACCTCTGGCACATCAATGAATCATACAGAACTACATCACACACCTTATCAAAGCATTAGGTAAACACCTCACGCGTGTCTGTCTGATGTCAACCCGAATGTTTTAAAATACACAAACGTTGCGCTTCTAAATACAAGTAAATTATTGTGCATTGATCTTTAAGATGAACGAGAAAAAAACACAGCACAGCTGAACTATATTGTCTAAAATACAGGTGCCGAAACATCAGCCACAGAGCAAATAAAGCACCCGCGCCCCTTTTATGGCTGGTTTACCAGTCACAATTTATCTCCCACCCAAACACAACACGCAAAAGATGAAAAGATGTTTTTAAACACGTACTCACCAAACGCGGTCGACTTTCACGCTTTAAACGGGTTCAAAGACAGTTTCAATTCGGCTTGTATTGATGAGGGCAGGTGAAGAGTCGAGATGGAGATGCTGTATGTGTGTGTGTGTGCGTGCGTGCGTGCGTGAGTGTGTGTGTATGTGTGCGTGGCGCTGATGCGAGAGATGCAGATACTGGCGGCCTCACGCAGCATCCAAACCCTCACTTACACTCAAGCCACTAGGGGGGATCTAAAAGAAACCCTACATTTGTTTTACCCGACCCTTACAAAGCCTGAAGCTCAATCCCTACCCACAACAGCTGACTTGTTTGCCATCTAGTGAAAAACTGAGAGAAGTGCAGTAGCATTTTCATTTAGGGTACAATATCAACATGTTATGTCAAATAAAGCAGCATGAAAGGAACAGTCTTTATAACAGGCCATAGTTCCGATTCTAAATTTTGATCGGACAAATAAAATGACTAAACAGACACCTAAGAACGTCTATTTAATATTAGCCTTATTCGTCAAGTTGCTGCTTGCTTGGCAACCACAAACAGCTTGAGGGATAATAAATTATGTACCGGAATTGTCTATTGTGATACTTACAAATGTTACAAATTTATGTTAAATTAGGCCTAGATAAAACATTTTATCATTGTACATTTTTGTTTTAGGCCTATATAAACAATAAACCACTGGGGTCTGGGCATTACAGTGATTTTAACACGGGTAAGGGAGTTTTAGACAGCTTTTTGTGACCGCTTTAACACCACCACCAACAATAATTATTATAATTAATATTATTTGGGGGTATTTATGTGGCAACATCATTACGATAAATAGGCAATGCTAATTAAACAATTGCATGTCTTAACAATAATATCATAATAAATGAATTGGTCTATAGGTTCGAAAGAGAAGATCTTTAGTTGCCAAACGAAATACAAAATTGAACTGATTTGTCACTAAGCATACAATCAAATTTTAGAAACACAACTGTTAGAATAGTATTTGCTTACAATATATGTTGTGCAAGCCCACCAATTTAAACCAGTTAAAACGTATTTATAGCATAATTAATTATATATTTATAGTTATATATAGCCTAACAGTATAAGTAGTAGCTTAAATGAGAATAAAGAATAGAATTCTTATATAGTCTGTGTTTAATTTGTGTCCTGGCTAGTGCCAAATAAAATCAGCGCACTTCTGGGCTTCATGCGCCAACAAAGCAACTGCTTTTTACTAACTCTGTTTTTGGAATAGGCTACTAATGGATTTGCATACATAGGGCCTACTCAATTTCATCTCCAGCCACGAGGGGGCGTGAAGCATTATATATTTATAATGTACGGTGGCCGAGAAGTGCAAAACAAATCACAATTCTGAAAACAAAATAAGAAATTACAAATCGATCGACCCGGATTCGATCCCGTCTTTTGCCAAACATTTTTTTCCTCCCTTTTCAAATCTCGTATTAGCAATGGATTCTATTTACACTAAGTGAAAATAGCAGTATTTAGCAAAAGGCGGGATCAAACCCTAGTTGATCGCGTCAAAAACCCAACCACACGCACTTATCCATCTGCACCACTGGAGCTGATGTTTTACAGCCACTTTTAACTAAATGTAAATTTCTGAATTGTTATTTTGTTTTTTAGACTTGCGTTTGCGTTTGTAATTTGTTATTTTGTTTTCAGAATTGTGATTTGTTTAGCACTTCTCGGCCACCGTAATAATGCCTACCATTGAACTAATCATGTATAGCACTTAAGGCACCCATCCCAATTTAAAAATAATTGAAGGTGGATGGGGTGTAACACCAACAGTGATTTTACACACTTGTTAAATATTGTAGCTATATGAAGTACACACACACACTATCCCATGTAAAAAAAAGTGCACTTAACTGTATTGGATGTCTTTGTAGTGTACTTCAAATGTTTCAAGCTCGCTATTTCCATTTAAAAAAAAAAGTAAATTATAATAAATTTTTATTTAAATGCAAATCACATAATTGCATGTGATTTGCATTTAAATAAAAATTTATTATAATTTACTTTTTTTTTGTAATTGTAATTAATGACTTAAGTTTCTGAAAACATTACATTCAGTTTACATTTAAGTAGATATATTCATCAAAGTAGTTTAGCCTTTCTGTACAAATGAATTTTCTTTTTAAAAGTATGCTGTGCTTCTTTGGGATGCCAGCAAAAATATGCAGGCTTACCCATCATGTAATTCCTGCTAAAGGGTGTGGCAATGATGTCACACGACATGCACAGCTTCAACTGATAATCAATCTGTTTATCATCCAAATAATTCCAAATGAGTTCTGTGATTGAAACCTCTCACCAGTGAACCACCATGATCTACATTTCCTGTCCCGCAGTCTCATGGGAAATAAATAATTAGACTGTGACCTGACTACACACAGTACGCAACCTTTGTTTCCAGAGTCTGAGATGAGGATGATCTCATCTCACTCTTCTATTATTCTACAGATCCTGTAGCTGGAGAGATATAAGGGAACAACTGAGGCATGTTCACTGTTTTATTAGGGTGGATCATCGTCATTACCTCAGCCTGATGGCATCGACCACTGTGAAATCTAGACAAAGACGTTTCACTGAAACAGTGCCACACTGATCTACTACAGAAATGTCACCTGTAAAATTATAAAGCAAATAAATTGCTGATCTCCTGTGGAGTATCGAGTGAAAGAAGCCAAGAATTGAATTACTGGCTAATGATAAAATCAGATTTGTGTTCGCCGAATTGCAAAATTGTGCTATCAAGCGTATACATTTCCCCAATCTGACATCTGCTTTTGATTTCTCTCTAAACATGTCAAATCATTTTTGTTTGTTTTTCTCATCTATCTGTTTTGAGAATACTGTAGAATTGACAATTGACTATTGAAGACATTAATAAACAAGACACTGCAAAATGGGAAATCTACATGGGTGTCAAATATGGTTTGTGAATATGAACAGAAGTGTTAAGAAAATGGATTTGCAACAAAATGACTTGTAATCCAAAGAACAAATAAAGCGCTTACAACATCAAGTAACAAAGAACTGAATTTCCAATAGAACCATTCAGAGACAGCAGATGGTGCCACTGAGAACACAATAAATAAGAACATAAAACCTCATGATATAAAAACAAAAGAAATACACCCAGCTTCTAAAGCAATGCAAATGGATAAAAATGTTTTGTTTTGTTTTTTCCCTGCAATGTGGTTATAGCAAAATTCAGTGTAAAACTGGCAGAAAATCCTGAGGTTGGATTCCACGGCAGAATTCCTACTGGTCATTATGATTCATTTGAGCTGTGATGAGCCACTGAAAAAAATTCAAATGAATTCAGAGTAGCATCTGCCAGAATCTATCTATCCAGAGAATATCTAGAGAACGAGAATATTTCAGGCATTTATATCGAATTTCTAAAACATAACGCAAGAAATACAGGAGAGTCGGCGTCTTGTCACAGTTACGTTTTATTCATTCAACATTTCACATTACAAATATTTAAAAATTATGCATATTGTTATAAATAGTTGGCTGCAAACAATTAAATAACATTAGATTTTTCTTTTTGTTTCACTAGCACTTACAGACCAACTCCTAGAATATGGACATTTCGTATAACATAACTTAATTAGAAAGAAAAATACAAAAATAGGAACTTATAAAGTGAAATGACAATAAAAATTAAGGTGATATCTTAAGTAAAAAATGCTATTAATAAATACAACAACCTTCCCATACACAGTTAAAAACTATTGAAATTTTGCCATTAAGTAACATCGTTAACAGACAGATATTTAAATATTTATTTTCCTTCAGAAAATGTGAACCATATATTGTGGAGCACAATATAGCAATTAGTAAAAACTAGACACTTTAACATATTAAAAGCTTCACCTCAAAAATATAACAAAAATCTGATCAAAATTATAAAAATTAATTATACATTCCAATTAAAAATATACCAATAAACAGCTAAATACATTGTTGACCTAATAATTACAATGCAATCAATCACAGTAGCTTGAAATAAACAAAATAAGCAAATGAGCACAAAACCTTTAATGTTTTAAAAATAACTTCAATTATTTATATTAGTACAAATAGTTTGATTTCTTTTCTTTTTTACAAACACCAGCATGAAAAGGATTACAATAACAGTAGAAAATGACTGTGAAAAACATATTAACATCTTCTTTAAATGTCGGCAATTAAAAATGGCATTAAAGAATTACATTGCAAAGAGTCTTTATCTGGAAAAAGTTCAAAAAAAGTATTGCACATAACAACTCCAAGTTAACTTGCAACATTTACCACATTCAAGTCTCAAGTTCCCCTTCCTGCAAACGGGTTTTGATTTACTTCAAACAGACAGTGGATGAAGTTCTCAAGTCTATTCAACAGCGTACTAAAGAAGATGCTTTCGTCCTGCACTGCAAATTCCTCCAATGACATTTAGAGTTCTCTTTTCACGTGTGTGTGTGTGTTTTTACTCCATGCATCCTATCGATACTGGATTATGGGGAAGGTATAGAGAATAACATGGGAAGGGTGCAGGGTGTGGGGTGGCCTTACATGAAAGGTTTAGAAACATCTGGTGCACAACCACAACGATTAATTTCAATAGCTAATTCATGTACGTCTTTTTTTTTTTCTCATCATGCATGCTAAGGATTACAATAGGAACTAGTTGGCAGTTCAAGAATATATATTTTCAAATGTTAAAATATCTAAACATCAAACATCCATTCTTGTGATACGAGGATCAGCCTAAACATGAACCAGACTTAGCATTCTCCTTATATTATAAGTTTATATTCCAGCTATGGAGAGGAAACCAAAAAGACGAGGTTCTCTTTTAGCCATTTTGCGCAATATTAACATGAACGACAACGTGTTCTTACCATGCTGCTGTCAGATCATTTCCGAATCTAGGGCTGCCATTCAAATCTAGTGTACAAGAGCCAAGACCTTAAACAATATACACTCTGATCTCTCCTCTGCAGATTTGTCGCGTAAACACAAGTGCGAGCTTAGTTGTAAAGATTCCTCAGCACTGAAATGTATAAAAAAAGCATAATTGAAAATAATATATATTAAAT